TTTATATCCATCTATAAAACAAATATTAAATGTAATTATTTTATCTATTTTTCTATGCCACTTTCTTAGATAATGACTAGTGATACCACCACCACATCCAAATGCAGAGCTTCTTCCTACATAGTATGATCCCCACATACCCATATATCTAGATGCCTTGTATATATAAAAGCAGGAGGTAGATGGGAGAATGGGTGAAATAGGTGAAGGAAATTAAGAACACACTTATCATGATGGGCACTGAGTGATGTATAAAATTCTTGAATCACTATATTGTGCACCTGTAACTCATATAACACTGTAAGTTAATTATACTAGAATTAAAGGGGGAAAAAGGCACAATCAAGAAACATGCTTCAGCCTGTTTTAATGCTATATCACTTCTCTCAAGATAATTATAGACACCAACTATTGTTCTATGCTCGGTATGATTCATAGATTTGTTGCCTTTGAGGTTTACTAGGTCACTTTTAAAATCTTAACTAAAATCTAACTTTATATACAGAGGGCATTACCAGTATCCTTCCTTTGCCTCTCTGTGACAAGGCATATTCACCTGCAGAATAAAATGTAAGCTATTTATATACTATTAACAATACTACTTATATCAAAGGGATAATTTTTTATATATTGACTTCTGTAAAGTAATAAAGATTTGACATTTTAAGGTTATATTAACTTTTTCCTTATGAATCTGTCTTTTCCTAGATTTTATAATTTTTTTCTTTTAGCATACAATATATAAATTCCATTTATCTATTACAGAGGAACTAGTTACCCATATTATCCAGTTAAGATAGTAAAGATAAATACTATATAATAGATATTTAGGAATACTAAATTTTTTTCATAAAATACGTCACTGTCTGATTTTGGTGGATAAGCAGCTAATAAGGAGCAGCTTAAAAATATATAATTCACTGGTGATTTTTCAGAACTACTGTGTTCTAATAACAAGAAACAAGCCAGGGATGATAAACATTTCAATATCTACTTTGAGGCCAGGCAGAGCACAATTACAGGAACAATTATTTCATATACACACATCCATATATTTGGGTGAGAGCCTAGAGAATTTATCACATGAAAATGCAGCCAATATAAAAGTACTGTGTTTAGATAAGGTAAATGGTTTGTTTTAGATATCTCTTATCAAGACCTAGGTTTAGAGCACAGATCCCCTTGCACTAAAATTAAAGCAGCACAGCCTTCGCCTACACGTCTAGGAAGTGGTGTTAGTCCTGCAGCAGAGGCAATAAGGGGTTTACATGCTATTTCTCTTGCTAATAGAATGAAGACAGACTTACTAACTGGAATTGTTTTTCTATTTTCCGTCACAATTTTGCTTCCTTCTCTTTATCTCTTTTCAATTTATGTACTTTTCTTTCTCTCTCTCTCTCCCAACACCCTTCTTCCAAAAACGCCTCACATATCCCAAAGTTTTAAATGCTTCACTTTTTCCTAGAAAAGTTATTAGAGATCATCATCCATGGGCAAGAAAAACTGAAGAGTAGGAGTCCAGTGGACTATAACTGAATACTGTAAGACTGGGGATATGAAAGAGCAAAAGAGCAAAACCACTCAAAGAGATCTGGATAAACTCCTTAACCATGCAGCAAAATGCAACACAAAGTTGAAAAATTACTGTTATCATCAAAAATTATACAGAGAATAGTACACTGCTTTTCAGGACAGTATGGTCTTGATTCAGCATAAACAATATGCAAACTACAGGGCAAATAACCAAGCTAAAAATAACAAAGGAATGCCCAGAAACAAAGTAAACCAAAACCAAGAAATCCAAAGCTTGCAAAAGCATCCAGAGTATGCAGTGTGTCTGTCTTTAAGTACACTGAAGCCTAGTATTGAATAATGTCATGATTTCTATATCTCCCTTTTGAACTTACACATACTAAGCTATTCTTCCAGTCATTATTAATTTTTAAAATCACCTATTTATCAAAATAAAACATGCTCATTGATAAAAATTGAAAAAGTGTATTAAAAAAAAGTTTGACAAACACCTAAAACACATATTGCTGTTAATATTTTGGCATATTTTACATTTTCTTTTTAATTTTACTGTTTTTTTAAAGAAGTTCCTGCCGCATTTATAACTTGAGTCTTCTATTTTCACAACGTATAATTCTTTATATTTATCTCTATTGGGAAATTTATTTTTTTAAAGATTTATCTTTGAGAGAGAAAGAGAAAAAGAGAGAGAGCACACGTGCCAGGGAGAAGGGGCAGAGGGAGAAGCAGACTCCCCACCGAGCAGGGAGCCCAAATGGGACTCGATCCCAAGACCCTGGGATTATGACCTGAGCCGAAGACAGATGCTTAACTGACTGAGCCACCCAGACGCCCTCTCTTGGGGAAATTTAAATGGTTTCATTTCACTGGATTACTGTATTGCTTAAACCATTATTAAATAAACACCACCTTTAAACATTAGTTGGTTAGATAAATGGTCATTACCTCTTCATGATAATTAGAGAACTATATTAAAGTCCTGAACATCACCAGGATATACTGGGTTACTGGTCAGTAGTAAATGCTAGGGTGTGCCACCCATGCTTTCCCTAACTTCAGATTAGGGCCCTTATTTCCTCAGTTGCTAGAAGTGTCACCTGCTGCCAGTTCACAACTGAATCCCTCCCCTAGAACTCTCACCAGCCCAAGAGAGCTGCCTCAGCCTGGCTTGAAAATCTTCCCCAGTTCCTGGGGCGCCCGGGTGGCTCAGTCACTAAGCGTCTGCCTTCAGCTCAGGTCATGATCCCAGGGTCCTGGGATCGAGCCCCACATCGGGCTCCCTGCTCGGCGGGAAGCCTGCTTCTCCCTCTCCCACTCCCCCTGCTTGTGTGCCCTCTCTCGCTGTGTCTCTGTCAAATAAATAAATAAAATCTTAAAAAAAAAAAAAGACAAATACCACATAATTAAAAAAAAAAAAAATCTTCCCCAGTTCCTGATCTATACATGGATACTAAGCCCCAGCCCTCCTGTTTCCACTCCCACCTCCCAGGGCCACCCAGTTGCAGCACTCCTTGTGGCCCTGTGGTATGGGTGCCAGATCTTGCTTCCTTCATCCCCTCTCTCCCAGGATGTTTTATTCCATTGGAGCTGTTATAACAAAATACCATAGACTGAGTGGCTTACGAACAAAAGGCTTATTTCTCACGGCTCCGAAGGCTGGGATGTCCAAGATCAAGGCACCAGCAGGTGTGGTATCAGATGAGGCCCTCTTCCTTCTGTAACCTCACTTGGCAGAAGGGGTGAGGAAACGCTCTCGGATCTCGTTTATAAGGGTACTAATCCCAATCATGAGGGCCCCACCCTATAAAATAACCACCTCCATAATAACATCACCTTCAGGGTTAGGATTTCAGTGTATGAATTTGAGGGGTCACAAACATTCAATCTGTAGTACAGGTTTTGATACTGAGAGGACTCCCCAATAAACGTGCTGTAAGCAAATCTCCATTTCAGGGTCTAGGATTAAAGACAGTTTATTTCAAGTTTTCAAAGACCAAACAATCCGTAGGAAATAATTTCTATTTGTTATTAAGTTGGAATCTATAAATAATTCATTCACTTATGCCCTGTGATTCAATTAATGATTGCCTATCTTATATTATAATTTACCTGGATTGAGATATACATTACTTAGCAACATTAAGACAATATATATTCCTTTTATGTGCACTCATGATAGTGTTCATAACACGAATCTTGGTTTTTACCTATTTAATAATTTTGTTGTTTGACAATATAACACATACTATTTCTTATATGTGTTATTCAATCATTTCATAAGCATGATAAAAAGCACTATATATCTGTCCTATAAGTTTTTGTAACTGTATGTTAATTTATACTTAAAATGTTCAAAAGTGGATAAATCCTCTTTTAAAACAATTTTATGGGAAAATATGAAAAAAAATTCCTTAAAGATGTTAAGATGCAGAAGATGTGATCTGCTCTTTCTCTTTGAGAGAATGTGTCTAAAGAAATTAGCAGAACAAGCAGGATGTGCCCGGTAACATCAGTAACCTAATCACACAGACGATCTTAACGTGATATGACCCAGGGGGATGGCACAGGAGATAAAATACCATGTATCTTCATTATAATTTTGACACATGAGGTGAAATGAAAGAATTAAAAGAAACCCAGTTGTCTGAGAAGCACAGTTTTGTTCTGACCATGAAAGAAATATAATCCACAGAGGAAATTTATATTGAATTAACATATTGAGTAAGTCAAACCTGATACCTTATGCCATTAGGACAAAGGGTAGACAATGATCACTAGAAAAACTTTAAAACACAGTATTTTGTATTCTCTGATGCTTCTGATCCTAAGAAGTAATGATTATGTAAAATGCATTTGATAACAAATATTCATAAATAACATTGTAGTGTAATTAGGTACCCCTAGACTCTAAGTTCCATTATCCCAATGAGCAACAGATTTTTGTGTGACTTCTTGCTTAAAAGTAGGTCAAAGAATGTCTGAGAGGCCACCCTTTAGGCCAATGTCTACAATAAATGTTTCTAACTGCACTCTTAAATTTTGTCAGTCACCTGAAAAAAATGTATTATACTTCTCACAAGTAGGGCTGGCCAAGTGAGTAAAAATAGCTCAAGCACTTCTTAGCAGTCAAAACATACCACTCAAAATCCATGCCACAAATGATGTTCTTAGACAAAGCTCAGCCCAGTATAACAGACCTCAAGTGTAACAAAATTCACTATTCCAAAATCAATTGTATTGGAGAACAAAGAAAGAAAGGAAAGAAAAAAGCAGAGATAAATGTTACATTGATCTCTAAAACTGAGGTTTTTTTTAAAAATTACTATTCAATGAACACATTGAACTAATAAAAAATATCCCTTAGGAGTTAATCATAAAAATCAATTTTTATCTATTGAATTTTCTCATGGCATAGTGGTTTCAAAACATTTAGAGGTGCAGAAAACATTGCTCTTTTAAAAAATTTTTTTAAATATGAACGCTTCACAAATTTGCATGTGATCCTTGCACAAGGGCCATGCTAATCTCTTTCATTCCAATTTTAGTATTTGTACTGCCAAACCGAGCATAATATTCTCTTTGTAATAGAAATCTTGCTTTTTCTATATACTGTTGTGGAAATACTAAAAAAAAAAAAAAAAAAAAAAAAAAAAAAAAAAAAAAACTTGTAGAAAATTTTTGATGTATAATTTAACGTTCTTAATTTTTATTTTACTCATGTTAGCAGATAGAAAAAGTTGACCACCAAATGAGTTGAGCTTTAAATACATACTAGAAATTGATTCCCTAAGTAAAGTCTTTATTGGTAACTTTCAGTTTGATATATTATTTTAAAGACCGAAGACTGCTATATAAAAGGATAGGACACATACATTTAATATACAGCAAGCCAAGGTATTCTGGCAGAAAGAGACTAATATGAGTCACTAATATACATATTAATTATTAGATAGTTTACAAGGAGGTAATGCCATCTACTTTATGAGTAGGTTAAAAAGTATATTCTTGGGTTTCAAAAATATGAGCAATAGGTATTGAACAGCATGTTTACTTAGCAGAGCAAACATAGAAAGATTCAAGTTATATTACTAAATGTTATTACTGTCAAGCATCTTAAAATTGAGATGTTGCCCAATATTCTAAAATAGCAAAATGTAAGAAAGTAAAAGACTTATTATTCAAATGATAATAGTGCTAAATTTTTAGAAGGATATAGAATTTATTAATGCTTTAGTGTCCTCATAAATAAAGTATGTATTTGATATACTTTGCTCTACAAATATTTCCTAATGGATACAGAGATACCAAGGCTTTACTTTGCACAATCTTTCATAATAATTCCTAAAATAAGACATCCCAACTCATTTTTGAGCTGGCAAATAACAGGTAATATTTGATTTAAAAAAAAGTGTGTGGGAGGTGGGGGGGAAGCTGATACCAAAAATGGCAGCTTACTTGGAGCACTTGTATTATTTTAAATACTATTTAGTATGAGTGAACAATTCCTGTTTCTAAAAACCATACATCTATTCCACAAGCTAAAAAATAACATCTGTATTATACTTGACACAACATACTTGGTGTTCACATACATGTAACTTAATCTCTCATAAAAACCTCTTAATTGTACCAATAAATCTCTCTCTTAAGTCAATTCACTTCTCCAATTCTACCACCACAAATCTTAATCAAGTGACCTAATTCAAATTTCATCTGAACTACTGAATGACTTCATAAAGGACCTCCACAAATTTACTTTTTCCTCTTCATCTTGATAAATTAAAATCTATAAAAAAAAATCAACACTCAGACTAAAAACTACTAGTCTTTATATCACCTATAAGGTCTACATTCTGTCATGCTCATTTTTGTCACAGGAATATTTTACATGCCATTTTGGTGTGGGATTTCATCTGTTTCATTACTCATTTCCATGAGCTTGAAAGATTATCAAGCATATGCCAAAACTCAAGAAATGTTTTCTGAAAGAATAAACATTGGGTGAACTTAGAACACAAATCAACGAAATTGAGCACAGAAAATCAATAGAGACAAAACCAAAAGCTGGTTCTTTGAAAAGATCAGTAAAATCTGTAAGCCTCTAGCCAGGGTAACTTAGAAAAACAGATAGTTCACAATTACTAATATCAGTAATGAAAGAAAAAACATCACTAAAGATCCCATGGACATTAAAAGAATAAAGAAATACTATGAACAACTCTATGACTATAAATTTAGTAACTTAGATGAAATGGAACAATTCCTTGAAAGACAGAATTAGCCAAAATTCACCCAAGAAGAAACAGACAATCTGAATAGGCCTGAACAAATCTTTTACAAGCTTTTCCTTTTCTTCCTTTTTTTCTTTTTTTTAAATTTTTTATTGTTATGTTAATCACCATATATTACATCATTTGTTTTTGATGTAGTGTTCCATGATTCATTGTTTGTTCATAACACCTAGTGCTCCATGCAGAATGTGCCCTCTTTAGTACCCATCACCAGGCTAACCCATCCCCCTACCCTCCTCCCCTCTGGAACCCTCAGTTTGTTTTTCAGAGTCCATCGTCTCTCATGGTTCATCTCCCCCTCTGATTGGCCCCCTCATTTCTCCCTTCCTCCTATCTTCTTTTTTTTTTTTTTTAACATATAATGTATTATTTGTTTCAGAGGTACAGGTCTGTGATTCAACAGTCTTACACAATTCACAGCACTCACCATAGCACATACCCTCCCCAATGTCTATCACCCAGCCACCCAGTCCCTACACCCCCCACCACTCCTAATCTATTAAACAAATTGAATAAACAGTAAGTAAACTTCTAAAGTAGAAAGCACGAGGCCCAGATGAGTTCACTGGTGAATTTTATCAGAAATTTAAGGAAGAAATTATACCAATTTTTTTTTACTATGTTAGTCACCATACATCACATCATTAGTTTTTTGATGTAGTGATCCACGATTCATTGTTTTCATATAACACCCAGTGCTCTATGCAGTACCCTCCTTAATACCCATCACTGGGCTTTCCTAACTCATTTTATAAGACCAGAATTACTGTGACACCAAAACCAGACAAATATATTACAAGAAAACTACAGACCAGTATCTCTCATGAACACATATACAAATTTCTCAACAAAATATTAGCAAATCAAATCCAACAATGTATGAAGAATTATATACCATGGCCAAGTGGGATTTAAATGAATCTAGACACAATCTTACATTCTTCACAAAAACTAACTCAGAATGGATCACAGACCTAAATACAACAAGTCAAACTATATGACTATTAAAAGATAACATAGGAGAAAACCTACCTAAATGACTTTAGGTATTTTTATTTATTAATTTTTTCTAAAGGCTCACTCTTTTTTTTTTTTTTTTTAGATTTTAATTTATTTGACAGAGAGAGACACAACGAGAGAGGGAACACAAGCAGCGGGATGAGAGAGGGAGAAGCAGGTTTCCCACTGAGCAGGGAACCCGATGCGGGGCTCCATCCCAGGACCCTGGGATCATGACCTGAGCTGAAATCAGATGCTTAACTGACTGAGCCACCCAGGTGCCCCTAGGTATTTTTAGATACAACACAAAAGGTATGATCCAGAAAAGAAATAATTGATATACTGGACATCATTAAAATTAAAAACTCTTCTGTAAAAGAGAGAATTAAAAGAAAAGTCACAGACCAGAAGAAAATATTTGAAAAAACATCTGATTAAGCACTATAATCCAATATATACAAAGAACTCTTAAAACTCATCCATGAGAAAACAAACAACCCAGTCATGTTCACTGCAGCATTATTCACAATAGCCAAGACATAAATAATTTAAGTGTCTGATGATGTGTGAATGGATAAAGAAATTGTAGTTATGCACACACATAGACAAGCATTGGGATATTATTCAGCCTTAAAAATGAAAATGATCTTGCCATTGACAATAACATGGATGAACCTGGAGAATATTTTTCTAACTGAAATAAGTCAGACACATTAAGAATAATACCACACGAAGTCACCTATATCCAGAATCTAACAAACTCATATTCATAGAAACCAAGCAAAACACTGATTAGTAGGGATGGGGGGTGGGGGAATAGGGACATGTTGGTCAAAAGGTACAAAGTTGCTATTATGTAGGACAAATAAGTTCTAGAGATCTAGGGCACAGCATGGATAACTATAGTTAGTAATACTGAATGGTATACTGGAAATTTGCTAGAATTAGATTTCAGATGTTCTTACCACACACAAAAAAAGTAACTATGTGAGGAAATGAATATATTAATTAGCTTGACTATAGTACTCATTTCAGTCATATATGTATATCAACACATTGTATTATAGGCTTTAAATTTTATTTTTATAAAAGAAAATTACACAATTAAAAGAATTAGCCGAAGACCTTTACAGAGACCTCATCAAGAAAGATGTATAGATGGCAAATAAATGCACAAAAAGATGCTCTATGTCATGTTACCTGGGTAATACAAATTAAAACAAAAATACCACCACATACCTATTACAATGACTGAAATTCAGAACACTGACCATATCAAATTCTGGCGAGCAAGTGGGGCAGCGGGAATTCTCTTACATTGCCAGTGGGAATGAAAAAATGGTAAAGACACTTTGGAAGACAATATGGCTGTTTCTTGTAAACTTACTCTTATCCTACGATCTAACAGTTGGGGTTTTTGGTATTTACCAAAAGAATCGCCAATTTATGTCTCCACAAAAAACTGCACACAGGCGTTTACAGCAGCCTATTCATAACTGCAAAAGTGTGGAAGCAACCAAAACGCCCTTCAGTAGGTGTATGAATAAATAAACTTGGTAATCTGGACAATGGAATATTATTCAGCCCTAAAAAATGAGCTATCAATCCACTGAAAGACATGGAGAAAGCTTAAAACACGTTTTATTAATTGAAAGAAGCCAATCAAAAAAGGCTACATACTGTATGATTCTAAAGGTAGGATATTCTGGAAAAGGGAAAACTATGTAAAGAGTAAAAAGATCAGTAGTTTCCAGAGATGAGGAGGGAGGAAGGGATCAATTAGTCAAGCAGAGGATTTTTAGGGCATTGAAACTACTCTGTATGATATTATAATGTGAATATCTGGACAATACATTTGTCTAGACCCATGGAATGTACAACACCCACAGTGAACACTAATATAAATTAGACTATGTGATAATGATGTGTCAATGCATCAGTTATAACAAATGTATCACTTAGATGGGAAATGTTGATAATGGGGGAGACTATGCATAAGTGGGAGGCAGGAGGCTTATGAAAAAAATCTCTGTACCTTCTACTGAGTTTTGCTCTGAATCTAAAACTGCTCTAAAAAAACTAAAGTCTATTTAAAAATGAACTTTAAGATCCTTTCTTATACTAATATTAGATAACCATTGGAAAAATACAGTTGTTCTTTACTTTCTAGATTGAAGTAAAGAAAAAATAGATGCATCATGCTGCCTTGTTAGCAGCATCACACACAGTCAGTTTAACAAGTAATAGGGAGGATGACACAAAGAGAAGCGGGAGGAGGC